TCTTAAATTTTAGATTTTATTTATATTTGATCAATTATTTATTGCAGCTGATGTCTTTGTAGTGTTATAAGCCTTTTTTGTCATATTTTAGATTTCATTGAAATATGATGTATTATTTATTGCAGTTAATGTGTTTTTGTTGTTTTAAACCTTTACTTTTATTTTATATCTTATATTTCAGATTTTATTCATATTTTATGTGTTATTTATTGCAGTTGATGTTTTTTTTAGCATTTTAAACATTTTTACTTGATGTATTTTTATATTTGATGTATTGTTTGTTGCAGCTGATAAATTTTTGTTTTATAAACCTTATATTTTAGTTCTTATGTTTTAGATTTTATTCATATTTGATCTATTATTTTTTGCAGCTGATGTCTTAAAACTTTTTAACATATATTTTAGATCTCATATTTTTTATTTGATCTCATTCTTTAGATCGTGTTTATATTTTATGGCTTTTTTATTGCATCTGATGTTGTCTTGTTGTTATAAACCTTATACTTTAGATCTGATTTTTTATATATTTAGTTTTTTTATTTATATTTTATCTGTTATGTGTGGCAGTAATATCTTTTTATTGTTATAAAACCTTCTTTACTGTTTTAAATCTCATAATTTAGATCTTTATCTTATATTTTATCCATTATTTATTGCAGTTTATGTGTTTTTATTGTTATAAATCTTCTTTATTTAAATTTTAGATCTTATATTTTAGGTGGTTCATTCTGCTGTGGTGACCCCAGATTAATAACGGGACTAAGCCAAAAAGAAAATGAATAAAAGACTTTAAGATTTCATTCATATTTTATGTGTTATTTATTGCATTTGGTGTCTTTATATTGTTCTAAAGCTTTGATATTTCTAAAATATGTGTAAGTTTGATGTGTTTTTGTCGTGTCATTCGCAGACAGAAGCTGATGTGCTGTAAACTGAAGCCTGTGAGAGGGAAATGCTGGTCTCATCTGTGGGTTTTCCCGAACGCTTCATCATTAACTCTGACTGTGCTGCGGCTTGTACACTCATTTGGTTTGTAAATGTATTCTGCTCAGTGCTGTGTGTGTCTGCGTCTGTCCACACGTCAGCAGCTCTGGTCTTCTTTGTGTACCAGGCTATTATTGGAATCACAGTATTATTTGCTGATATCATGGAAAGAGCATCATCAGAGTTCACACAGAGTTTACTGTAAGGATACAAAGCTTATTCCAGCTCATGGTGTTTAGTGTTTATCAGCGGTGGTGAACGGCATTATGGGATGTTGATCTCTGCTCTGTCCACTTCTTAATATTCAACTCTGCAGTTAAACAAAGTGACTTTAGTGATATTTTAGTGGTTTGAAATAATATAGAGAGAATATCTAGTGAAATAAGAGTGTAGAATAGCAGTGAATGTGCTGCAGTTTAATACAAGGTGTTTACAGTGTAATGTAAACACCAACACACACAATACAGCCCTGCACAATATCACACATGACCATAATACACACTTTTTCAAGGTTAAAAGTTGCTGGAAGAAAGATCAAGATCCCATCCCACATAGCAGACGGACTTGGCCCAAATGTGGCCTCATTATGGGACTGCTGCCGGCGCTGGCATGCATGCTGTCAGCTGAATGTGGGCCATGGTAATGACGGCACTGCATGCACGACGGCAAACTACATTTGGGCCAGTTGTGGATGGTTTTTTCTTTAGAGTTTTTGTCTTGTTTCTAGTTCAAATATCTAAACCAGAGATGCCCAAACTAGTTGGCAACCAAAGTTTGCCCATGAAAGCCTGCAGTACGGCCCACCACCCCATCTGAGAGGAGACTGAGAGTGATGGGCAGGGCTGGGGTCTTTTCCAGAGATGCTCGTTTCTAATTGAACATAACTGTGGAGACGTTTGTTTTTGTGGGAGGAAGAAGACTGCAGGGTCAGGGATATAAGCTAGGTAATAGCTTTCTTTATTTTAGTTTTATTTTAGTTTTCTGTGTTTTTGATGAATGTAAATACTGACACTCATCTGATGCAGGACAACACAGAAGACATGACGAGGCGAAAACAGGCGCAGCCTGACTACTGTAATGAGTTCATTATTATATTCAAACATATGTACTACATTAGTTTATATAAATCAATGTTTTCTAGTTATCTTCAAATATTAAATAAATTAGGCAATTACCCACGGCAACTTCAGTGTAATAGAGTTTAGTACATTTACTTTCGGCCCACCACCCTCAATTAAAGTTGTTGTTTGGCTCCTCATTTGACCCAGCATGTAGACAAGCGAACAATACAGTCATTCATTCACCCCTTCGGTCCCTTATTCATCAGGGGTTGCCACAATGGAATGAACCGCCAACTATTGCAGCATATGTTTTATGCAGCGGATGTCCTTCCAGCTGCAACCCAGTACTGGGAAACACCCATACACACTCATTCACACACACTCATACACTACGGCCAGTGTAGTTGATCAGTTCCCCTATAGCGCATGTGTTTGGACTGTGGGAGAAACCGGAG